TTGTTTTTGGCCAAAAGGGATTGAGGAGTGAATTTATGCCATACTTGTGTTTTAGTGCATGAGACGTGTTGTACTAATAGTTCTAGATCCAATAGATATGGTCCAAGTGTTAGAAAAGGCTTTTAGCACTTGTTGCGTGTTTTGGACACCCTTTTTTATTTGAAAGTTGTGAAAAGTAGTCAAAATGTGTTTGGCTGTCTAACTTTTTAGTGTGACTTGTTTTGAAAGTGAAACCCATGTCATTAGCTAGTTCATATAAATAGCTTTTTATAGACACCTATACCACGTCATTCAGACGTCAGACGGAGAATTGGGACGCATCAAAATTTTTTCAATTTTGCTGTCAAATGATAGCAGAACTGCTGATATTTACGTGCACGAGTCGCGGTGCATTGCCTTATTTCACAACATATGAGTTGTTTTCATTCTTTTCCACTCCTCTGAGGTATCCCATACTTTCATAACTTATCTTTACTTTAATATAAGAAATGTTGACAATTTAAACTCTTTTTGATTTAGAAAACTTAGGATCCTTTGAATTTGAACTAAAACTTGGTAATCACCTTTTTGTGTTAATTATTTGATTACCATGAGTTTTATTTAGTTAATTGTGGTTAGTAAAGTAAGATATTTCAACTTAACTCAATGGTACCAAGGTTGGCCACAGCTTCACTAAGGTAGTAGAGGTTGGGGGCTCAATCCTTAGGAAAGTTCCAAAAGACCTTTTTAGTAGGGTGAGGAATAATCCATGTACTACTATGAGAAAAGTCACACTTGGGCTCGTGAAGGGACACATGCCAATACCGCATTCGCTAGCGTAAGGGGCTAGGGGCTGTGCTGTTACACCCTGCACTTTTTTTGATATTCTAGGTCCCTACAATTTTGTTTTTTTTTTATGTTTTAGGTCCCTATTTGAAGAAAGCCATAAGACGGCAAGCAACTCTATTGCCTTACTATACAAAGGGGTGTAGTATCGAGACAAAAGAGCCTATTCAAGAGAGAAGTTGAGAAACATGAAGTGCATGAGACCGAGCCAATTGAGCACCTTTTCCTTTTATGCGATTAACTTAGCGATGGGCATTCCTTACTATTTTTAGGGTAAAGGCACTGAGATCTATAAGTTAAGGACTAGCAAGACTCATATTGCTCTGGTCTCCATTCGTATTCAACTGGTTAAGAGATGAAAACAATTTCAACATCAATGCAAACTGAGGCAAAGGAGGGGGATGCACGGTACATTGAAGATGTGGGAAAGATATGGAATATTGAAAAACAAAAATATAGAGACCTAGAATACTGCAAAATAAGTACAGAGATTTAAAGCAAAATTCAATCAAAATGCAAGGATACAAAAATATATTTTCCCTTAAAATTATTATTTTTTAAAGTAATCATTGATCTCCACATCATCAATTACAAACTAACACTTAAAACTTCAACATGGTTGTTGACATTGTTAAAGAATTTGCTATCATTTCTTATAATTAAAGTTATTATTTCTTAAAATGAAATAGTTAGTGATTTCTAGGTCATCCCTTTACAATAATTTTTCAATAGCTGATTATTGAAGCTCTAGCCACCAATGGTGGGACTTTGGTGGTTGGCTGCAATGGAGCTTTAGCTATCATTTCCTAAAAATTAAATGTGATTGGGATGGAATATATATACAAATATACATTCCTTAAGCCGTAGTCAATGAAACTTTAATCTAATATTTTAATATTTACTCTTATTAGATTTATATTGAAATATTTAATGCCTTTAATAAAGTTCACTTATAATAAAAGTTTTAATATTTTTGTAAAAATTTTAGCAGAACCTTATCTATACATAGGACTTCCAAAAAGTTATGCAATACAATATTTCAATTAAAATATCAAATCTATCAAGAGCTAAGTTTCGTCCGGCTAGCAGACAAAAAATATATAACAATGTAAATAACGTAGCTACAGGTTATATGGAGCACCTAAAAATAAGTTTACAAAATAAAATTTTATAATTAAAACTTTACATCAAAAGAGAGCTTAATCCTTAGCTCCTCTACTTGTAATCAATAATAGACTCCTCAATGTTTAGCAGGTAGTTTAGCTCAGCCACACTATCTAAGCAAAATTATTTTTAGTGAATAATATTCCAATAATAAAGTTAAAAGAATATAGATGAATATGTTTAGATAATTTTAAACAAGCTAAAAAAACCACTAAATTAGAGACTTTAAAAATCCTGATAAACTTCACAAATTAGAATCTGAAACTTTTGTGACTTTGTGGTGCTACTTGTGACTTTGACTTTGAGTGTCAAGAAGCCAAAACTTTTGTTATCATTTCATATAATTAAAATTAGAAAAAATATAACTTTGGATTCATGTACTTTACTCGAGTTTTGCTATAAGCTCTTGTACTTTTTTAATATTTTTATGTCCATATAGTTTTATTTTTTAATATTATAGGTCCCCATAACACATCTCATGAAAGGATCTAGAATGCTGAAAAATAAAAGGGTAGAGATTTAAAATACCAAAAAAAATGTAAAAATTTATAACAAAACTCAAATAAAGTACAGAGACTCAAAGTTATATTTTTTCTTAAAATTATTATTTTTCAAAGTGATCATTGATCTCCACATTATCAATTACTTCTAAACTTAAAATTTCAACATAATAGCTAACATTGTTATAGAATTTGTTATCATTTCTTATAATTAAAGTTATTATTTCTTAAAGTGAAATAGTTATTGATTTCTAGGTCATCCTTTTACAATAATTTTTCAACACCTGACTATTGAAGCTCTGGCCACTAATGGTGGAACTCTGATGGTAAGCAACAATGGAGCTTTAGCTATTGGCAATGGTGAGAGTTTTTTTTTTTTTTTAAACATAAAGGTAGTAGGGTTATTTTTAAAATAAAAACCAACACTAATGGAATATAAAAATAGTATATACTCTCATATGATTCGGTGGCTAGCTTGGTTTTTAAATCCTTGATTAACCAACACTAATGGATTAAAGGTTAGTGCGTATGAGTTGTTACTTTTTAAAATAAAATGGGGATTAAGTGAGCAATATTAGATTATTATTATTATTATTATTATTATTATTATTATTATAAGCACTAATCCACTTGGTAATGAAATACAGTGATCTGATTTGAAAGAGGTGTAAACTTTGGGATAACTTGATTAATTTTCCTGAAATTTAAAGCTCTCAATTAGGATTTAATGCTTTAATAGGTCCTTGTTTGTCATTTTCCCTCAACCTTTTATTTGAGAGGAAAAATATAACTTTGGAACTCTACAATTTGCTCAAATTTTGCTATAAATCTTTGTACTTTTTTCAATGTTATAAATCCTTATATTTTTCTTCACTATTCTAAGTCTTTTTTTTTTGTCTGCACCTTACATCCCTCCATGAGCGGTGTCATAGAGACCTAAGGTGCATATAAAAAAAAGTGTAGGGACCTGGATAAAGTTGTTAAACTCGCGAGTGTAAGTAAATTTATAATAAAAATGTAAACTTATATCCTAAACTCATAAAAGTTTACCTCTATTAATAAAAAGCTATTAACAATTTATTATTAAATAATTAAAATATAAAATATGGCCTTTAAATATATTTAAAATATAAATAATTGAATTTAAATACATCTACATTGACAAATTATCATACAAAATATAGAAATTTTAAAATAGGGGAACTTAGGGCTTGTTTGATTTTTGTTCTCATTTTTTATTTTTAAAAATTGTTTTATAATTCAGCTTTCAAATTGTTTTTAAAACAAAATAAAATAAAAATTCATTTATTTATATCAATTAAAAAATAATTTTAAAATTAAAAAATAAACTGATAATGATGATTATAAATAGTTAATGATAGTGATTAATAATAAAAAGTGATCAAGGTAACTATAATTTTTAATCAATAAATTTAATTTATTTTAAAAATAATAAAATAAAATAAAAAAATTTAAGGTTGTTTCTATTTTTTGTTTTTAAAAACAAGAAATGAAAATAGTTGTAAAAACAATTAAATGAAAAACACTTATCCAAACAAATTTTTAAATTTTTTTATTTTTTTAAAAAATAATTTTTAAAAATAGAAACCAAATAGGCCCTTATTGTTTGTATTTTTTCTTTTCTTTTTTTTATTAATTCTAGTTTTTGGTTTTTAAGTTTTTTTTCTTCAAATCGGGTTGTATAACTTTTATGAATTAAATTTTTTATAATATGTAATTAACTCACTCAACTCAAAAAAAAAAATCAATGAGCTTAATAAGTTTAACAAGCTTGAATCTAGTTAAGTTTATGAATTAGATGACACTATTTTATAAGTTAAAAACGTAAAAAATGATAAATTTAAAAGTAAACCTGCAAGTTTATCTGAATTTATATGTAGTTCGAGTTTATAAGTGAATTAATATAATATTGTAAGATAGAAACATATAAACGTTTAACTCAAAGAGCCAACTAGAGAGTTTAATAATTATGTCTAGAACACCCAAAAAAATACAAGGACATAATAAAACTTGAACAAAATACAGGAATTTAAAATTATGCTTTTTTTATCTAAAAAGACAAAATCTTTTTGCTTGATTGGGTGGTTTCTCTCCACTATTTTTTTTTTCTTAGATTATCTTCTTACTATAAATCTAAAAATATATATGTTTAAAAATTATCAAATTCAATTTAATTATTAAAATTTATAATGTCCCTCCTCTGCATTCCTCTTTGAAAATATCCAAAATGCAAATTTTTTTTTAAATTTACATATTAATAAAATCTTTATTTTTATAAAAATATATATTATTTTTCTATTTTACTTCTAATTCTAATTATTAACTTACTTTATGATGAGTGAAATCATTTACACAAATATTTAAATTAATAAATAAAAAATAAAATGTAAAAAATCTCTTTACATATATTAAATTATTTATATTTTAAATTAAGGATAACTAGAGAAAATGCTTATATTATAATTTATAACAGGAAGTTACCGAATCCGCTATCCTCCATCAACGTTTACTGCCACACACCTTCCTTTAGTGTCCGATCTCCCCTACTTTCGTCTCTCCCATTCAATCATTCACTTAATCTCAAAGACGAAGCGCTATGTAGATCTTCTGGATATTTTTTTTATCCCTTTTCTTCCTCATTTTCTCGCTCCCCAAACACTCTGATCTTGAATAAGAGAAACCATGACTTCTGTGACCCCCAAATTGGAGCTAAGGGAGCTCGGGAACACCGGTCTGAAGCTCAGCTGCGTGGGTTTTGGAGCTTCGCCTCTTGGCAATGTCTTCGGTGCCGTTACCGATGATGAGGCCAATGCTGCTGTACGTGAAGCCTTTCGTCGGGGAATTAACTTCTTTGACACTTCTCCGTATGTAATTGATTTGAGTTTTGAACGTTTGGTTATGCTTTATTTGGATTGTGTAAGATGTGTGAATTTGGAGAAAAGATAATTTAAAACATAAAAATTCAGGAAAACAGTAATTTAAAGTGTGTACAGCCCTGTTATGCTTCTTGATCTGCTCAGAATCTGAGTATGATACTATCCTGTTAAAAGGCAGATACGATTAATTGAAACTTTTGGGGTAAAACTTTTTATAGATTGAGACCCAGAAAATAGTTTTTTTTTTTTTGGTATATAGATTAGGAAGAGAGTTTTTTTTTTTCATTGAAAGTCGGAAATGGGAATCTTTTCCCTCATTTTTCAGAGTAGGGGTGGCTGTTATTTCTAACCGGTGGAAAAATTTAGAGAGCCTGATAGTTTTGCCACAGTTATCTCATCAGTCAACAAATTAGTTTTCCAGTAAGATGTATAATCTGTGGTAGAATTTATGTAAGATGCTCCATAAGGTTGCTTCGGTAATTTTAGGCTTGGCTATGAACACTTTGAAAACAAAATTCTATCTGACCAACAGGATTAGGACATGGTTAATATGACAACAGGTACTATATAATTGTGGATTTAACTAAGGGGTGGTGGATGATTTCAAGTTCTTATTTTTATCCTTACCTTAATTTTCGATCTTCTAAGACAGTTTACTAGTTACTACTTGCACTAAACTAGTCCAATTTAAAATAAAAGTTTTATCTGATGTTCTAGCCGACAAAAGTTTGGTGAAATATTTGCTTGGTTTCTGGATTTGAAAGATAATCCATTTGCAGTAATAAATCGAGTTGAGGGGGATAATTATTGTCTTCATTTTTAAAGGAGTTGATTTTAACTGGTTTTTTCTTTTATTTTCTGATCTCAAGGTATTATGGAGGGACACTGTCAGAGAAAATTCTAGGCAAGGCGCTAAAAGCTCTGGGTGTTCCAAGAAATGAGTATGTTGTAGCAACAAAGTGTGGACGATACACAGAGGGCTTTGATTTCAGTGCAGATAGAGTTACTAGGAGTATAGAAGAGAGCTTGGAAAGATTGCAGCTAGACTACGTTGACATACTATACTGCCATGATATTGAATTTGGGTCTTTGGACCAGGTGATTTCTTCTCTTTAAATATCTACAAATCCTTAAGCTTATCATGTGGGATTTAATTCTTCTGCATTGTTGGTCTTAAATATTAATTTCTAGCACATGTCGGCTTTCTTTTGAACACAGATTGTTAAGGAAACAATCCCTGCCCTTCAGAAAATAAAGGAATCTGGAAAAACTCGTTTCATTGGAATTACTGGGCTTCCCTTGCACATATATACTTATGTGCTTGATCGCGTGCCACCTGGATCAGTGGATGTAATATTGTCATATTGCCATTACTGTATAAATGATTCAACTCTGGAAGACATAATACCATATCTAAAGAGCAAAGGTGTTGGTATTGTCAATGCTTCTCCTCTAGCAATGGGGCTTCTCACTGAGAGTGGTCCTCCAGAATGGCATCCAGCTTCACCTGAACTCAAGGTGTGTTTAATTTCTCATAAATAAGCAAATACTGTTTCTTTTATAAACTCACATTTCACAAGAATATAATAAATTGATTCAGATTAAGTAATTTTACAAAGATCAAATTAGACCATTGGAATGGAAGTCATGATCACACAAATTCTCTCTTGAGGTGAATAAATGTGGAGTTTGATTTTGCAAAGGAGAGCGACTAGATTTAAAAAAAAATTGTACCAGTCTCAATTTGTAGTTTTTCTATATTAATGCTTGTGCGTAATGATTTTCTTACTGTGGGTATAAAGATATGAGAGGATATTGTTGCACTTAAATCTAAATGGGCACAAAAAACTGCGAAAAAGTAGCAAAGAATAAGAAAATAAAAAAGGTGCAACCCAATCATGTCAACCTTTTATTTTTAGTTTTACCTTTTTTTTGGGAGGGGGTCTTCTTTGCTGAATAACCTGTTGAAAGAATGGAGATGATCTTCAATATACTTTTGCCAGAGTTGGGAATTATCTTTGTTCTTCCTGTGTTTCAACCATTGCCAGTGCTTTCAAACATCCTTGGGCTATGTCTCTTTTTGTACCATATTATTGGCTGCTATAAGTTTTGTGAAGCCATCACGAAAATCATAGGTGGAAAGCTCAAGATTGGCTTTAATGATATATTTAATGTGCCCCCTCAAATGAAAACCTTCTGGACTTGAAGCTTGAACAAAACATAAGTCCGTCTAGTGATGAAATTTAAAATGGTGACTGCAAGAATGGGCCTTCGATAATTCAGCTATAGAGGCTCTAATACTGTATCAAAGATCATTAATTCTCAAAAGACTATGTTAGTGATCCGTAGAAATACTTCTGTTGATATCTGTATGCCATATAATATTTAATCTTAGTTAAATTGCTTTCATGTATTTGATATTTGCAGTCTGCATGTCAAGCTGCAGCCACCTACTGCAAAGAAAAGAGGAAGAGTATTGCAAAGTTAGCCATGCAGTATAGCTTGTTAAATAAAGAAATCACATCAGTGCTTGTTGGCATGAAGTCTGTTAAGCAGGTTCTGCTTCATCATCTTCCTGGACTGACATTATTAAATCATTTATAAGCATCTGTCTGTTTTCTTAAATCCAGCATCTATGTGATTTTGTGGATAATGGATCTCACTTTGATGTGAATCTATCCTATGCTGTGTTCATCTGAAATAAATTGATTGTCTCTTTGCATTTTCTCCTCAAAGGACATAGGACAGTTTTCCCCTGTAAAAAATGTGAAGATATTGTCATTCGCCATTTGCATGTTAAACAAATTACCAGTTAAACCATCAACAAGTCATTGACTTAAAAGATGTTATTGGTTAATACAAAGTTCTTGGTTCTAATACCATATGTTGATGGGCACCAACTGCACTATATGATCAAGATGCTCGTTAACAAGTTTTACAGGATCTAATCAACAATTTGATAGCATTACTTTGACAGAAAATGTAACTATAGCTTTCTACAGTTGCAGTACTCCTCCTCATTTTTATGAGTTTGTGATCATATATGTTTATCCTTTTTGTGTGTGTGTCGATATTTTCCATATTCTGCTATAGCAGTTTCCGCAATATATTTATTATGGCACTGGACTGGAGTGATTTATGATACTAGAAATTCCACATATTGGTGGAAGCCTGTGCTGCTAAGCAAATCAGTTTTAGGCCTACTTAGTTACGTTCTATTTAGCATTACACTCCCTAGTCAAATCCATCTTTATCCTCTTTGCCATTTGCTAGGTAATAGAAACCCCTTCTTGGCTTCTGTATGCAACATCTTTAATTTTTAACTAACTAGGTAGGTGTTAGTTTTATACGTTGTATAAAGTCTAAGAAGTAAGTCATACTATTTACAGCTTGTGAATAGTACAGTTTGCTATAAAAAAATTTTATTTTATGTCAATGTTGACACTGATTAGCTTTAGGCCATGCTATTTTAATAACATTTAAGAGCAGTTTCTATGCTGCAAGAATTTTTCTTTCATTTTTTCCATTTTCACTTAAACCATTTGCACATAGTCCTGCAGTATGAAATTGAGAAATAAATAAAGCCTTAGACTCTACCACTCACATCACAAGATTTGCGTGTGAACAAGTTTGGAGTCGAGTTGATATTGTAACAACCCTGATCTGCTTGAGTGTGGTTATTCTGACAAACTAGGTGGAGGAGAATGTTGCTGCTGCAACAGACCTTGCAGCTTCAGGGATTGATGAAGCAGCTTTAGCAGAGGTTGAAGCTATTATAAAGCCAGTGAAGAATCAATCATGGCCGAGTGGAATCCAGCAGAGCTGATGTTCTTGCTGCTTTGTAATTTTCCTTTACTTTCACTGTCTAGTATTTTCGATGATGATGACACTATGTTTGCCCCGTTTGTGTGGTAATTCTTCTGCTTCTGTTCAGTATGAGATTACACTTTAACAGGTGCAAATCTACTGTTTGAATTATATTTCTCATAACTTTCTATGATAAATAAACACAATACTTTTATGTTGCAATTGTAGTAATGGGGATTTGGATTTTGACCAAATTCCCCATTTGAATACATGAAAATTTATACATTTCGATTTAAATCTAATTCTTATCATAATGTCTTTATAATTTCAAATTCTATGTAAATCTTGTTATTTGAAATTCGAATCACTCCAATCTTCTTGTTCTCTTTGCGTTTTCTCATCTCTTATTCTTGTCTCTCAGCAATTGAAGAATAGAGGTAAACTTGTCACCTTCAATCTCTTGTTTTTACTTTGAATCTCAACTTGTCTTTCTTCTTTTTTAAATTTTTTTTTACATTATATAAACAAATAATTTTAAACATGTGAATTTTAAATGGAAAACTTTACATATAAAATTCAAATATATCAATTCAAACATCACGTTATAAAATTTTACAGCTTATTTGTCCCCAACCGGTTATTAAGTATGAAAAGGTCCCATTTTGTTTCCCCTACAGACATATGACTGCTACTAAAAGCCAAGCAACATGAACTCTTGCTTTTTGTGTGTGAGTGTGAGAGAGAGAGAGAGAGAGAGAGAGAGTAAATTTTGTACTCTCTCCAATTTTTTTTGGTCAAAGTACTCCTCCAATTTAAGTATAAAAAATATAGAGGAAGCATGGAGGGAGTATATCAATGGTTTTAAATGGCACAAGAGGTTTTTTTTTTTTTTTTTTTTTGGGTCAGTGTTAAGGTTCATGGAAAGAGCTTCGTTATGTGCAAACAAAGCTTCAACAATTATGGAAGCTTATTGCTAAGTTATTCGGGTATCAAATGTTATCCAAACCAATTTTCTGAAAAGCATATTCACAAAACCTGAAAGTGGATTCAATGAATGTTATGCATACCTCGCTTTGAATAGTCTCGTTCAACAATGATGAGAATCCAAACTTTACTTATCAAGATGTGGCCCCTTGATAATTGCTTATCATTATGACTTGTTGGTGTAGAGATGGTGACCAAATCCTGATCCCTGCAATGCTGAAACATAGGAAGATTGAGGTGCGGCTTAGGTTTCTCAATGTTCCAGTGGAATCCTACAATAATGAATCTTTATGGAGGCTTGGAGGCAAACTGTAGGTAAGACACTGAAACTTTGGAAGATCTTAGATTGACAAGTATGTGTGATGCCATGTTCAAGAGGATGACTACCAATAACATTACAAAAAGAACAAAGGTGTTTCTCTCCATTATTTTTAGTCCCAATCAATGTAGTTTTGTCATTCACAGACACAGCTCAAATAATGTCAGTACTTTTTTGTCTTATAACAATAATTAAAAATTGTAATTAAATGTATGAAAACTGTTGCAAAAAATTAAAAGCAATATTTTTGAACTTATATCAATTCTATTATTACCTATTATACAAAGTAACAGTTTTTCACACTTTATAATTACACATTTCAAAAATATTTAAAAAAAACCAATAGGTTTTGTGTTAACCTATCACAGAAATTTTAAAATGTTGCCTATCATATAAATAGAAAACAATTAAGAACTATTGTGTAAAAATAGGAAAAATTTAAGATTTATATTCATATCTAGTACTCAAATATGTATTGCTTAAAGCAATGATTAATTGCAACATTTAAAAAATATTATTTATTTACATATTAGGTAACACTTTCACAACTATTATGAAGCAAATTGTTGCCAAAAGAAAATGATAAGCTCAATAAAAAGAGTAAAAGGGTTTTATGATTATTAAAATTGATCTTAAAAAAATTCTATGAAAGGATAAATTGTGGCTTCTTGAAAGATTGAACTGAAGCTGAGCATGTGGCGAATATTATTTGCCATTGTGTCTCACCAACATCCATGCAACTTCTTTAGAATGAGGGCAAGGCAAAGAACTTATATATCCATCACGGGATGTCAAGCAAGATGATCCAATGTCATTATATCTTTTTGTTATATGCATAGATAAACTCGCTCATTTAATTCATTAAAAAATGGAGAAGGAAGATTGGCAACCTATAGGCTGCACATGGATAAGGTCAGGCCAAGCATTATTCCTATTTAGTGCCCTACACAATGTATAGTTTGGGCTAGCATGATGCCTGAGTGTTCAGGTCAAGTTCGACTCGATTGAATTGAAAAATTTTTACAAGCACTTTTTTATGAATATATAAAAAAATTTTAAAAAAAATATTATTATTATCATTTAAAATATATTCTTTATAAAACTAACATTAGAATCAAAAGTAAAACTTTTAAAGGTACATATAATCAACAATTGTCAATTATTTTTACATAATATTAAGTTAAAAACAAATTTAAAATTCTGCAAGAGATTTACAAAATTATAATGATAAAAAATGTCTAAAAGATTATAACAATAATGTAATTCACAATAATTTTGAACAAAAAATAATATCATAAAATAAATATCATTCACCAAAAAAAGTTAAAAAAACAAACACACGCACACACAATGGAGCATGTGGAGTCCTGGGCATCATCCTCGAGTTTGACTCACAAAGCAAGTTGCGAACCATCATTTTATTGGTTGATTTTCTATACTTGTGTTCATGAGTTTTGTTGTTACTGCTGTAATTTTCATCCATTAATTGATGATGGGATTTGAATTCTCTTTATACTCTCTCTCAATTTTTTTTTTATAATCAACTTTATCCGTCCATTTATTTATTCACGGGATTTTGGGTATGAGTGGGAATGGGAGTCTATGCCTTGGCCTACTTCAGGCCTAACCTATCTTATTTGTTAAATAAATTTAAGCTAAGTTCAAGCATTTAATTAGATCTATTTAATTAAATAGGTCAGGTCTAATTTTTCAAAATCTAACTTACGAGCCCAACAAACCGACCTATTTATATATATATATATATATATAATATAATATATCACACACACATCAGTTTCATCATTTGATTTTTAATTAATTTATTTATTTTTTATTTTTAGTTACATTTTCAATTATATTGAACTTATATACTGATTTTAATGCCATTACTTTATTATTGTATTATATTATAGTTGAAAAATCCTTTTCATTATTATATATTTTAATTGATAAATCATGCTTTATATTTATACCAATAGCCTTAAAATATATTTGAGATATTTAAAAATAAAATGAAAGCATATTTAACATGCTTATTTTTAAATTGGTTTTTAAATAGACTTTCAGGTCAAGTCAGGTTTCAGGTAGGCTCAGACTTAAGCCTTGAGAAAAGTTTTATATAGGTTTCAAGTCAGGCTCAGACTTCAAACTTACCACGTAGGCTCAATCCTATTTAGCCAAAGCATAATTTGACCTATCCCATTTTCACCCCTAGTTTTAAGTGATGATGCTAAATATATAGCCATCAAATCAAATGGATAATTAAATGAATTTATAAAATTAGATATGAATATATATATATATATATATATTGAGAATTAGTATGAAAAGAATTCAAATTCAATATTGTTGTTGTTGTTATTATAAAAATAAAATTTTAAAATAAATTGACAAAATTTATATTCCCTTCGTTCAAGAATGTAAAGCATTGTTAATCAAATCTCACTCTCAATAAAATAATTATCTACTTTTCAATTAACCCTATCATGTTTACCCCTATTAAATACCCTACAATAAAAAAAATTTTACAAGCATTTTTTTATGAATATATAAAAAGTTTTTTTAAAAAAAATATTATTATTATCATTTAAAATATATCCTTCATAAATCTAATATCAGAATCAAGAGTAACATTTTTAAATGTACATATAATCAACAATTGTCAACTCTTTTTACATAATATTAAGTTAAAAACAAATTTAAAATTTTTCAAGAGATTTACAAAATTGTAATGATAAAAAATGTCTAAAAAATTATAACAATAATATAGTTTATGATAATTTTTAACAAAAAATAATACCATAAAATAAATATTATTCACCAAAAAAATTAAAAAAAAAACGCACACAAAAAATGGAGCATGTGGAATCCTGGGCATCATCCTTGAGTTTGACTCTTGCGAAGCAAGTTGCAAAACAATCTTTTTATTGGTTGATTTTCTATATTTGTGTTCATGAGTTTTGTTGTTGTTGCTGCAATTTTCATCCATTAATTGATGATGGGATTTATATTCTGTTTATACTCTCTCTCTCTCTCCATATAATCAAGTTTATCCGTCCATTTATTTATTCACTGGGTTTTAAGTGATGATTATAAATATATGACCATTAAATTAAATGAATTGATAGAATTAGATATGAAAATATATATTGAGAGTTAGTATGAAGGGAATTGAAATCCCATATTATTGTTGTTGTTGTTGTTATAAAAATAAAATTTTAAAATAAATTAACAAAATTTATGTTAATTATATTTTATTTATATATTTATATAATACATTATATATATATATATATATATATATGTAAGTTACATGTATAAACATGATATAAAATATAAATATAGGCTTACAAGCAAGATTTTAAATAAATAGATTTGGTTTTATAAGCTTGGGCATAGACTTGTTTGTTAAATAGGTTAAGCCAGACTCTAAAGTCTTAATGGACTTCACGACCTATTTTCACTCTTATTTCCAAAACAAACAAATATTGTTAGTGATAAAATATTTTTTTGCATTAGGTAATTAACTATATCATCATTAAAATTTGAATTAAACTTTTCAATTTCAAAATTGAGATGACAAAATAAATTTAAAATTAACAAACTAATCTAAAATAATTTATAAACACCCGCACACAACTGCAAATATCTCGTGATGGCCGTTGGCCGGAACTCTTAATAATTAAAAAATTATTGATCTCCAGAATAAAATGGCTACAATGACTTGGGAAAATGACAATTAGGGACTCCATTAAAATATTAATAACAATTATAGGTCCTAAATTATTAAAATTTTAATAATAAACCATGATCCTTACTTGCAATTTAAAAAATATGAATAGTTAGTTAAAAAATTTATTAAATACACGTGAAATTATTTGTAATGTTAATTAAAAATTTATGAGTCAGTTATGACTCTCAATTTTTTGCTAAAAATATATAGATAAACCACTTAAAAAAATCAAGTAAATATATTTAAAATTATTTGTAATGTTAATTGAGAATTTATAAGAATCAGTTGTGAATCAAAAGCTCCAAATATAGATAAAGTAGATAAATTACTTGAAAAATTTACTACATATATTTAGGATTATTTGTAATATTAATTGAAAATTAAAAAAAGTAGTTGTAAATCACAAGTCAACTATTTATAATTTTTTGTTATCACTTGGAAAATTGACAAAAGATAGTTGGGAATATTTGCAATCTTAGTTGGGAAATTTATTAAAATTCATTGTGAATCTCGAGTCAATTAACAAAAAATAATTTATTACAAGTAAGAATTATAATTTGTTATTGAGATTTCAATAATTTAGAGTTTGTAATTGTTATTAATATTCTTATAAGATCTTTAATTATTATTTTCCCTGATATTAAGACAATAAGTATATTGTTTTAGTAAATGACAAAAAAAAAACGCTTATCAAGTGATTTTTCCAAATTTATTTTATGCTCTCATGCATGTTAAAACCACCCTCAAATATCAATACTTGCATGGCATTGGTGCATCGATACCTTATATGGCTTCAAACTTTTGAAATGTCCCTTTGCATTGATACACAACACCTTTCCCTTGATATTTCGAGTCCATTTATTTCTCAATACCTTGTTCTATGCATCGACTGTTTCCTATTTAATATTTAGAGAAAATTAATCTTCAGGCCTTTCTAATTTTCATTGATTTTTGAATTAGAACCCTATAATTTATTTTATTTTAATTAAGTTTTTATAATTTGACTGATTAAATATATTAACCATAAAGATTAAAATTATTAATGAATGGTTAATTTTTCCAAATCAACAACATTTTTAAAATTTGCAGAAAAATTAAATTAATTCTTCTAGCCAAAAAAGCAAAAAGAAAGATTGGTTCGATCTAATGTTTACATTTTTATTAATTTTCTATGAAAATTTTATGTATATAAAAAGCTATCTAGAAAACATAACCTAACAACAAAGAAATTTTTTGATAGACTAAGTGCACTACATCATCTACGGTTTGTCTAATAAAAATGTGACATTTAAATTATATTAAATATAAATTAACTTTGATATTAATGATAATAGAAAGAGAAAATGTAAGAAATTAAATTTGCATTATATTACAAAAATAAAATTAATTAAAAAAATATCACACAAGATTCTATTTAGATTACTTAAAGCATTTTAATTGGATAGACTATAAATGATATAGTGCATTTGGTCTATCTAAGTATTTC